TTATATATATATATATAGTATTGACCTCAGGACCTTGCACCTACCAGGCAAGCACTTATTCCACTGAGCTATCTCCCCAGCCCTGCTACAATATACTTTTACAAACTAGCTTTTCAGACATATCAAAAAGCTGAAAACATAGCAATGACCTATCAGGCTGAGAGAAAAGAACTGGGACACGTGACATCTGTAAGCTGGAAATAACAGGGATGAAACATGAAGAATAACTAGAGTTCTGATGGCCTCCAGGCCAAGAATGATAATGTCCAAGTGCAGAATCCACCCAAAGCAAATGGTGCCCAACGTACACACTTTAATGGGGACCCCACAGGGCACACATCAGGGTGACATGAAGGAGAAGCAAGCCCACTTCCTCCCCACCCTGCGGAACAGAGGGGGGTCTTACCCAGACTCTATTTAGAGAGGGAAGGAAGCTGTACTTGAAAGATGCCAGTCCACCTGGATTTCTGAAGCCCACACAAATAACTTTCAAGAACACTGCACTTGAGAGGTGCGGGGCAGTGGTTTCAGGCTTATGAAGTTGACAGCAATCACTCTCCTGTGGTTTATTTCTCATGAAGTTTTGCTAACCTGGCCCAAAACAAATGTGTGTGTGTGTGTGTGTGTGTGTGTGTGTGTGTGTGATGTAATATCACAAACTAGAATAATAAAGACTCATGCTCCGTATTTTTCAAGATTCAAAGAGACTTTGCTACTATGAAATCAACTGTCTGGATAAATGTGCCCTCCTCTTTGCACGAGATGATATGAAGGCTTCCTTTCTCTATCAAATGAAGAGCGCGGTATCTCTTTTTCTCCATCTAATGATCTTCTCCTGGCTGAATTCCAGCTTCTTCTCAACGGAATCATGATTCCTGTTTATTCATGAGAGAGTGTTCTGGATCCCTTGTTTTTCAGAACTAGAGATCAGAAACCTCTGTCAAGATCCTGACAGCACTTTTTCTTGATCTGGAATCAAGAGGCCCAGAACAGGGAACCCCCCACTCCAAAGGAGGTGGCAAGGAAGCAGCTCCTGGCCTCAGCAGCTGCTGCCACTGCCATGGATAAGCAGCAAGAAAGTCCAGTCCTCCAGGTTTGGAGCCAGTGGACTTAACAGACATCCAGCAGGGGACAGCCTTACTGGAAGGAGCCCTCCCACAGGGGGTGGCAGCAGAGGTCTAAGAAGCCTCTCTCAGACACATAGTCTTTCACTGTGGGTGCAGCCCCTCCTTTCTTCACATTTGTTGAAATATAAATATCCTTGGAAGGCCAACCCTTTAAAAAATTTCCATATTTACATACATATGCTTCCATTCTGTCCTTTTCTCAAAACCATTTTTGATTGGAGGCAGAGGAAATTTCAAAAATCAAGCCAATAAACACACAAACAAAAAACAGTTTACATACAAAAGTGAGGCATTGATGGAGAGATGGCTCAGTGGAATAAGTGCTTCCCTGGCAAGCGCAAGGGCCTGAGTTCAATCCCCATTTTCACACACACACACACAAAAGTGAGGCATCAGAAAAGATCTTTTTTGAGGGGTTAATCCCCTTCTCCAGGACTTTCCCATTTAAGTCTGGGATCCTCGTGAATTCCAGTACACATCAGTTGCTTTTATTATCTGTGGATTGATCATTGGAAATGTCATTCATCTGAACTCTCTGTAATAGCAATGCTGTAATCCAGTCTCCCACTACGCATTGCACTCCAGTGACACAGTGGGCAGTTTATTGATGCCACAATGGGACAAAGCATTCTAAGGAACTGTGATCTGGTATCCAGGGTATGGACAGACGAGGACCAAATGGCTCATACTTCAGAGCATAAGTGACAAGCAGGGAAGCAGGTGGCAGTTTAGTCACTGCATTTCTTCCTACCCCTTGGCCCCAGGAAGTATTATTCACACTCTCGGGGCAGAACCCCATGCTCCCCAAATTTGATCCTCAAAATTATGCTGACAATTGCTGAATCTGGGTGATGGGCATTTAAGGATCCATTGTACTATTTTTTTTTCTGGATGTGTCAAAAAATGTTTAATAAAGCAACTTTTAAAACAATCAGCACCCTTTACTTCCCTGAAGTGCATCCCCCATCTTTTTACTTTCTTTGCGGTACAGGAAATTGAACCATGACCTTTGCACTGAGCTCCATCTCCAGCTCTTTTTGCACTGAGCTCCATCTCCAGCTCTCTTTCGTTTTTATTTTGGAGAAAGGGTCTTGCTAGGTCGCTAAGAAGTTCCTCTTGCATTCAAACTGGCAATCTTCCTGCCTCAGCCTCCCAGAGTGCTTGGTCTGCAAGCATATGGCATCATGCCCAGACACCTTTTCCCTTTAAAAGGCACATTCTCAATGCCTGTGTAGCACATTTACACATCCAATATCCCCTACACCCTTACTTTTTTCTAACTTATCCTCCACAATAGGCTAAAGATTCAGGTACAGATACCAGAACCAGGGAAGTGATAAGTGGAGATTTTGGATACTTTAATTATCTAATCAAGCGCACCAACTCAACTGGACCAGAAACAGTAGGACTTAGAGACTGGGGAGGTGCACCAGGGCGGCTGCAAAGACCTGACAGAGAAAGCAGGATTTAACACAGTTGGTAAAGGGAGGGTTTGAAAAGGTTGGAGAGAAAGACAAGAATGTTTGGTGGCTAATAAGCCTGAGAGGAGGTGACCTCAAGTAGTGTCTGGAAAGGAAGGGAGTTCACCAGCACAAGAATAGGGAAATGGCATGGTACGGAGGCACAGAGGACTAAACCCAGATGCAGACTGCTCTTGAGGACATGCCCGGCAATGAGGAGCTTGGCCTGGTGTCTGGGTGGTAGA